AAGTTTCAAAATAATCTCCTGCTTCATATCTATATAAATCGAAAATAAAAATTCTAGCTGAAAAGAGCAGATATTATTTTACAAAATTAATTGATTTTGATTTAAATATTTGCAACAAATTTTTACAGAGATGTAGCTTGAGTTATCAGTGCAAAATACTGCTAAGATTTAGTTTGTGACAATTAACTAATTTGTGACAAATTAATTCATAACCCTGGAAACAAGATTTTATTCGTTCGCATCTTGTATAGCTTTGCATATGATGAGTTTAATTTTATATTTTGCTATACAAGAACGCCTTCTGGGCTGCTAATACGTTTTCAGCGGTAAGATTTTGTCCGAGGTTGTACTTAGTTTAATGTACTTCAAAAATTCAAAATTTTCGTTTAATTAATTGAAGCACATTAAACTAAAATTGTTACCATCAATATTCAAAAAATATATTTGCTGCAATGTGAGACTAATTTTGTCACATTTACAGGAATAGCTTCTGCTTGTGAATTAGGTTATGAATCCTATATGTTTTTAATTGTGGACTTCAAATATTATGTGTCTGTTTCATCTTACACACGCGCAGCTACACAAATCGGGCGATTTTTTGCTTATGCTCTGGCACAATTTCTCGTCTCGTTCAATTACGGATCATATCTACTTTTGAATCAGGTTAACTTTTTATACGCAATTTCCTAAACATTGGAAGTTAAATCATACCTAATCATATTTATGCAGGAATTTTGACAATATTGAAACAATCATTATCAAATAGATTTAATATGGAATATTATAATTTCTATTAGGAAATTCATTTGGATTATGCACTTATTTCAACATCCAAATAAATCATATCTATAATTTTGATCAAATTGTTTTCAAAAAATTACGTCAGCTAATTCTTTGATAGAACTGGCGAAAAAATTTTTTATCGCATTTGTTGTAGATATCATTTGTTGCTGTTTGCTTAACTATACCAATCGCTCTTTGTTTTCCACCTGTAACAGTTAGCATCCTCAGAAAAAAGGAATGCAAGAATGCAGATCTTAATGTAATTCATAGTATCTTTTCTGAGAGGTCAACAAGTCTTGAGCAATGTGATCCAAGTCACTGCCGCATAACTAGTGAAAGGTTATAAAGTTTGCTGAAAATTATGAGTAAACAATTTCGATATTGCTAGTATCAAGTCTCTTTGATCTGATAATTTCCATCTGCCAAAATTTGCAGCAATGAGCAGAGTGAAGTTTTGTGTAGTTTCCATGTATGTAAGTGCCTTTAAGTGATTTTGTGAACTTCTTGTGCATTAGTTCAAAATGGCGATTGGGTTTAAAAAAACAAAAGGCGTTTAATAACCTCAGAAGCTATTGATTCTTCTTCATGCTGACCATTTCCACTTTTTTATTGATCGAAAAAGCGCGAATTATGTTTTATATAGTGATCTGATTAGTTTTCTGATAGGATTTATTAGGAGAGAAAAAAAAATATTACAGTTACAAAATAAAAAAAGACTGCATATTTTTTGCATAAAAATGCTAAAACTCCCATTTAGTTCACAATCTGCAAATATCAGCGCTGGAATATTGAAATATTTTCGTGCTACTTGTGTCCAGTTTACAATATTTACACGCAACAAGAATGTACTGAAATGGAGTATGTGGTGGGCATTGACCACATGTGGAGTTTACCAGGTTGAATGATTTTTTCGAAGATTTTGAAGTGAAATTCCCAATAATTAATCTATTTGTAAGATTGACTAAAAATGGAAGTATATACATTTGTAACGATTTTAGGTTATGAACTATATACAAACACTTTGGGCCACAATGCAAGTGCTCTCGGAAACATACAATGGAATTACTGAATGTGCAAACACTTTCATTGGTAACATTGAAGTCAAAATTTAAGCACATGAACTACTAATTCGTGATATATACTTATGAGACATATTAGATTTGCGCAACATGACTGGTAGCGATGTTGAATTGGAGATACTATGGTTTTAAGTAAGAAGTTTCAGGTGCGGCAATATCTTTTTCTGTTCAGTATGTCCACTTGGATTGGAAAGAAAATGCAGAAATAATATTAGCTTTGACGTCAGGTATTATCGCTGTATTACTGGTAATAATGCCACTGTGTCAGTCAATTACGCCTGCTTATATCTTATATGTTGGTGTTATTGCCATTTATAACTTTTTAATGACTGCTGCATGGTAAGTTATGAGTTTTTGACTTTGACACCATTTCTAACCATGCAATTTGCAGTTTAGAATCTAAATAATTAGAACAGTACGCAAACATATTCTCTGAAAATTTTCCTCAAAAACTTGCGCACTCAGTTAGGTAAGCGATGCTTAATAGATGATCGCTACTAAATCGTTATTATATTAAAAGTCCATACTGAGAAATACTAAATTTTTTGTGCGAATATATGTTAGTAATTAATTCTAAATGCTTTTGCATAGCTTCGCAGCACAATTTTACTTTTATCAGCCAGTCATCAAATTGTGTAGGAGGTACTTCAACCACTTTGTGTAGGAGGTACTTCATTCATTACGATAAAGTAGCTCGGATAACTTTGACTGCGAATAGTATTAAATTGTATGTCTCGCGATTAAAAATTTCTAAGTTTTGCGAAAAGCAGTCATACTTAGCATAAGCGGTCGTGTTTTTATATAGGTTTAATTTTGTTATTGTGATAAATCTTGAAACTTTTACTTAGTTACTACACTAGCAAATTTCCATGTATTTTTTACTTACTTTATATTTACTCAGAAACTGATGAAAAATAAAATATAATTTGTAAGCAAACGGGTAATTATTTTCAGTGCTGCAATCGCATCAGAGCTAGATTCAGCTAGTTACGCTTTTGTCTTTGGAATTAATACATTCATTGCTCTTTCACTAGAAAGTAGTTTGACTCTTATCGTTGCTGACAAGCATGGATTTGCTTTGTCTATTCAAAAACAGGTCTTCTTAATCTTCTTGTCTATATTCAATGAGAACATTTAATTAAAAGATTTAAAACGATGGGATCTTGCAGATTTTGTTCCCTTACTTCCATTTCATTCTGTTAAACGGTATCTAAATTCATCCTTTAACTATTTAAGGACTCACTCTCATTCAACATTAGTGATGAACAAATTTGCAAAGCTAAACAGTGTAATGAACGGACATTGATTACCATAATTAAGCGTAAAACGAACTACACATATACCAACTTCCATTCTCGTTCTAAAAACTATGTGTATTGCGTGATCCACCAATTTCTTCGATTGCTACAGCGACTAAGTAATACAGAAATTTAATTTCAGTTTTTGGTGTATAGTGCTTATTTCGGGACCATCGCTTGTGCTTTTGTGGTCGTAATCATTGTTCAGTGGTGGCAAAGGAAAGTAGGCCAGCAAGAGAAAACTACAAGTCCTGATGATATGTCACATTCCACAGGCACAAAATCACAAGTTACCTCTTCTAATAACTGATGGTATACTGGTAACGAAATCGAACTTCACAATGTGCTATGAGCATAGTGTAAAGCTGGATTCCCTTACCACTATACCCGTGCCAGTATTTTACTTGAATGTAAGATTGGTGTATTTCTCATATTATTTGAAAGTGCTTATTGAGTGTCTGAGTAATACTCTTCACTTGCAGCTGTATAGAAAATTATGACGTGAATAATTGCAAAAATTCTTAAACCTACAGAAAAAAATAAGAGATTCAAATTTCTAACAAGAGTCATTAGAAGGATAGTACAAATATGCATCCCGAAGTTTGAAATAATTTGTTTCCATTTTTTCGTTCATTGAATATTTTGGAGCATGAAAAGTAATGTTATCACATTATCTGTTCTATTTTACCAACCACGTTTGAGCGATTTACAAACTTCAGTGACTCAAATTAACAGAGATATGCTCATAGCACCGAAATAAAAGAAAAACGTTTAAATTACTATTTACAATAGCAGTCTTCAAATCCATTTCACCCCTGCAATTTATGCAACCACTACTATTGTGTTAACAGTAGCACCATAACCCGGAATCTCAGACGACTCTCAATTGCTTTCTGAATTTAGATGTGGAACAACGAAAGACACCATCGGAACAAAATTGACGAGATTGGCAATCTTTTGTTCATGCAAATTAAGATTATATTTTCTGTGAAATAATTCTTATAAACTATACCATGGCCTCCCTCTTCTACCTTAAAAACATTTATATGAACGAAAAAATGTATCCCATTGTCACAAAATATCCATAACAAAGCTGACTTCAAGACAATTTTTTACCAAAACCCATTGCATTCACCATTCTACTAAGCAGTCAGTTAGTGATAGACCGACCGTTTGCCATTTGCTTTAATCTTCCAGACTATTACTTCCTAAATCCCATAATCATACACCAACAAACAAAATCAGCATCAAGTCGCATTTCTGCTTTCAAATCTGCTGCAGTGAAAAAAAACTACTAAATAAACAAAAGGGCATCAAACTTTTTGGAGATAGGCAAGATTGAAAGAAACACAACTCCGAAATTATTAACTGATACACAAAGCTTCCTCTAATCCAATTTTTCAAACTTTCAAAATATTGCAATCAAGTGAACTGAAAATACGCTTTTACTATAAAATTAAACCTTTTTAGAGACTTCCTGACATAATTCATTAAAGTATATGCACTTTGATGTATGCACTACAATGCATGAAGGGAGATACCATTATTGTTATTAATAGAAATCATAGAAGCGACCTTTGATTATGGCAAATATTAAGGTATTTCAAATAAATGTTGGTTCCAACATAAAATTTTATGTGACAGCAGAAAAAGAGCTTAATAATACTACACATCAAGATATAAATATATTTGCAGAAGAAAACTGATGAGTTTCTGAAAGAAAAATTAGCACAATACTATTTTGTATTCCAGGAAGCAGTACTGTCTACAGCCGCTTTACCGCAACAGCGACCGCTTCACCACCACCGTTGCATATCGTGGCAACACCAATCTGATTACCCTTTAGAGCATGAAGAAGAGTTACAAGAATTCGTGAGCCTGATGCACTGCAACATCAACTTCAGTAAACTCATTTCAAAGTAATGTCTTGTGACCAGATGGAATGCATGAAAATGAAATTTGGAATCTACTGAAATAAAAGGAACAAAATCTTTACAATTAAAAATTAAAAAAAAAAAACACATGTAACAAACCCAATGGGATGACCAAGCGCAACAGACCCACCCCGAACATTAATACGACTACTGTCCAGACCCATATCACGCATAAAAACAATGACCGTAGCAGCAAATGCCTCATTTACTTCCCACAATGAAACTTCTTCTATCAATAGACCAGTGCTGCTCAGTAACTTAAGAGAACCATTATTAATCTTATAGCAAAAAAAGAACATTGCTGATGAATTTAGAAGTAGAAAAAAATAATGTAGTATAACGCATTAGCCAAAGAGTTAAAAAAATCCCCATCAGTAATTCAATTCTCATACTTTTTTTACGGCGACAGATGGTGCACGACTAAATTCTGTGGGTTCGATTGCAGCTTCTGCGTAACCCAACACTTGTGCCATTGGTCGACAATCATGATGAGAAATGAAAGTACCACTTGTCATTAATAATGCAGCTGCACCATCAGCAATAGAACTAGAGTTTGCTGCTGTTACTGTTCCAGTATCTGGCACAAACACCGGTTTTAAGAGCGGTACCTGCAAGGCATCATATACTTCTGGTTAATGACTGCTTGAGTTTCATTATCACTGTAACTGAACTACATTTTGATATCACAGAACTTAGTCGTTTTGCATTTGTATGTACGATGATTGATAATCACACAAAAAGAAAAATTTATGAACTGCTACTTTTCCAACAAAAAAAAGAAAAAATAGGCTTACTTTTAAGATATCCAGCCTTTTATATTCTTCATCTTGAAATAATTCACTAGAATCTGGACATTTCACCGATATCACCTCTTCATTAAACAAGCCTTCCTTTAAACAAATTTTTTGAAATATCCTATGAGGAGATTCAACATAATGCTAGTACATTCACTTGAGGCAGATAAAATTACCGGAAATGAGAAAAGTACGTTTTATCTTAATTTTATAAAACTAAAGATAATGATAATGATTTATACTCTGAAGAAATTTGAAATAAATTTAACAAAATAGTATATTTGGGAATTCTCGAACACATAAATACTGATCAACTTATGCAACCTTCCAAGCATTCTGAGCCCTTCTATAACTCTCCAAGGCATACTCATCTTGTTCTTCACGACTTATTGAATACTTCTCAAACGTTTTTTCCGCACAAGCTCCCATTTTCAATTTCGTGAAAGCATCGTTTAATCCATCCTCAAACATACTATCCTGAAATCAAATCTTGGAGTTACATAGAAAAAACAATCAAAGACTGAAAATTTTCTGAACCAATCGCAAGAACTATAATAAAGCTTTAAATATGCAATAAACCTTACTACAGACGGAGTACTCATGTTGTCGTCTCCACGAGGTATCCCATAGTAAGCATTACTCATGCTTTCGGTACCTATCGCCAAAACTACATCACGATAGCCTAGTTGAATTGCTTGAGCACCCATTATGACTGCTTTCATACTCGATGAGCATACTTTATTAATAGTTACGCTAGAGCAAGTGACAGGAATACCTTAATTTTCCACATAATGCAAATTTTGGATACTAATTTTTTGAAAATGTTTTTAAGTTTTTGTAACCTGTAAACATTAATAAAAATAACCAGCATTAATTGAAATTTGTCGAGCGACATTCTGACCATGGCACGCAGTGAGAACACAACCAACAATAGTTTCATCAACATCAACGCACGAAATGCCTGCGTAGCAAGAAATAAAGCAGAAAAAATACTTTGAAAATAAAATAATATTGAAATACAAGCTACAGAGCTACATAACTGCGAAGTGCGAAGGAGTGATTGCAACGTAAAATATTACGTGATGCATAGCATCCTTCCATATGCAAAATAAAACTAACCAGATTTTTTAATCACTTCTTTCGTTGCAATCACTCCTAAATAAACAGGTGAACAATTTTTTAACATCTTACGATAACCACCAATAGGAGTGCGCACAGCAGCAACAATATATACATCTCTCAATCCTTGTATCCTTTTATCACAAAACTCGGCATTCATTTTTCTTCGTTTACGTCCTGGAGACGGCATGATCGTCTAATGTCTAATAATTGTCAAGTTTAAAACTGATTAAGATAAATGTGAAAAATTTCTAGTAAGAAGGTATACTTAAATAAATGTATGTCGAAAAGAAAAAAGTGGTGAAAATAATCGTCAAGAGCCCTCGCAAATTCATATACACTACATCTAGTAACAACTTCCAAAAAGCACATCTTCAAGTCATTACGAGAGCAAATCTAGCAATCCCAAATAAAGACAGCCCGGTATGTAATAAAGTGATCCCACGACCCCCTGCAAATAATTTTATCAAATCTAAAGCACTTCACACTTCGCAATAAAGAACTTCATACATCTGACTGTGCAAAATTTGTTGCAAAGAAAGTTCCATCTGACATGCTTGCGCTCTGAGACATTCAAGTTATAAGGACTTGTGACCATTAAGTGCTTACTGCAAGTAATTTTCTGGATATAAATTTCGCGATATAATAAATCAAATACCACATCGTAAAAAAGCTGATGAGGCTGCCACCCATACTTTTAACTGCTCTAATGAGGAACGGCTACTCTGTGATGTAGCAGTTTGCTTTCATCGTAAAATGTGTTATATCGGTTCCCAACGCTGAGCACTTGCTATTATAGAAAGATCGGAAATTAAATAGAATGAGAAAATAGCAGAAAAATAAAAAGCACTGAGATAAAAAAGAAAAATGGATTTCATGTCACAATTTGAGAGTAACAAATCAGCTTATAGCAACTATTTCTTCAGCATCCAAATTGTACTCAAAACTTATATCAACAGGTGAAAGTTAAAATGATAACTACTCGGTATTATTACCTGTAATGGGTTGTGACGATTTATTGTTGTTAATGCTAATTGCAGCAGATTGCAATTGAAATATGAAAATAATGATAGCAGTTGATAAGAGATTGATAAGAATAATATAAATTGCTATCTTTCTAATAATGTAGTGTAGAATTTAAAAAAAATAAACAAATAACAATGAAAATGCAAATAATAGCACCAAAATCTTCGGATTTTCAATTTATGAATGTAACAGAATGGAAGAACTAAAATTATGGATTTATACTACGATAGGTCGGCAATTTGGCTCAAAAATGTAACAAATGCTTGTCGCATTCATCGCCGAATCAAAAATGCTTCTTCTGTCTGATCGTATCCAATCTGAACACATGCAACCCTTCTAAAATGTGTTTCACATACAAAATATTTACACTTTCTGCAAGCAAATAAATATACAACTCCGTATAGTTTGCAGAAAAGAACTACTTCTCTGCGCAACCAACCCCAAAATGGGTGTTCTGTGTGAGTAATAGCTCAACGCCAATTGAAATTTGCAAAAGTGACATTGCGCTGCACAAACGTTTGTCTCTCTGTCTCTCCCTTGTCAATATGTCTCTGCACACTTCTGTGCATCTTTCTGTACATGTCCATCTGGCATACATTTCTGCATCTTAGATGCGTACAATCTGCTCATTTCGTCTCACAAATAAGCGAAAAATTCGCTTTCACCCTAAATGCACTGTCTACTACAGTGTGTATTTTTCTATCTAAGAGTAATTTTTTTTTCAATCACAGATTTAGTTTATCAGAGCTAACTAATAAAACTTAACTTATGAGAAGCAACAGTGTCTGCACCATTCCTGTGACTGCTTCCTTGGTGCAATAAATTGATCTCCTGCTCTCTTACAAATTACATCGTCAAGTGGACATGTTTGCTGGAGAATGAGGTTCAAAATTTTCACCTTCTTTCCGTATACGATTTATGGTGGGAGATAACCTCATATAAACTGCTTTTATTCGAGCGACTTTCGATCCGACTCATTTTTTCAAAAGTTGTACAGCAAAGCGTAAACCGTTGCTTCATGTGAATTCCATGTAATTTCACCTAACAAGCCGTCTTTAGCTATTTTCCATCCTTTGATTACTGCATTTTCGTGTGTGGTAAACATCCAGGAAATTTGGATCAAAATGAGAAAATAAGTTTGTTTTGATGGTGTAATATATTCACAACTGGGGGCTGCTCTTTTTCACTCGGAATCACGCATTGGTAGATTTGCACTACGTTGCGTTATCAGGAGGGAAAAACAGATGAAATGAGAAAGCGTTTGAAAGTTCGTTACAATCCATTCCCAAGTCATCACATACGGAATTATTTTGATCCTGCGTTTCATCCCTGACCCAAGCTTATTAGCAAGTAGGTCATATTTTCGCTTTTTCTCGGTCTAGACTACTGTTAACCTGTCCTTACTGGTGATGCCAACCTCAATCAGGATTACTTCATGCTGCTTCTTATCGTGTATCATGACATCCGGTCGATCCGCTCTTATTCTGATTGCAGTTCTCACTCGCGTATCGACTCTCATCTCGATATTCTTATTTGTGACGATTTCCTGAACAAAATAGCTGCGCAAGAGCGAGAATGTTTTCAGACCATACTTCTTGCAGAGTCCCAAGTGGATGCGTCGTATGACCCCTTTGTGTCTTCTAGTATAGCGGTGGTGTAACATTTTTTTGATTCAAATTGAAAGAAAATTTTACGGTAGATTTGTGTTAAGTCATGAAAAAAAATAATATCGAGAAAAGTTATAAACTGAATGAACCAGTGAGCATTACTTTTTATAGATGTGTTAAATGGCCAGTACGAGGAAACATTTTGATTTTTATGAGGAAATAAATCTCAAATGTTTCCCCAAATTTTCTCATTTTTCGCTTGGCATGAAACGACAGTGTGATCAGATTGGTCGAAACTAAGCGCCTTTGGTCAAATACTGCATTGTTTTGAACAAAAAATGAG